CGCTGCTGGCCGCCGGGGGTTCGGATCCCGGGCGCGCACCGACGCACCACTTGTCAGGCCATGCTGTGGCGGCATCCCACATAAAGTGGAGGAAGATGGGCATGGATGTTACCTCAGCGCCAGTCTTCCTCAGCAAAAAGAGGAGGATTGGCGACAGATGTTAGCTCAGGGCTCATCTTCCTCACACACACACGAAAACTAATTAACACAAGTATAACTGCTTTTATTTGTACATGTCTCTGAAGCAGAGCCTTCAAGCACCACATTATTAATCTACCAGCTCCTAAAATTAATTACAGTTCATTTGAAAGATACAGTTATTTCTGCTCATTTAGCTCAAATTCTAATGACTATAGGAACCAAATGAATGGTTGAAGTAATTACACATCCACACCTCTGATTAGGCTGCCCAGCTACACAAGCAAGACAACCTCAGTGGAACAAGCTGCAGGGAAGTAGCTCCTGCAGGGTAAACAGGAATCTACCACGAGTTCCAATGACACTAAATAAAACCTAGGTGCAAATTTAAATACCAAAAATAGCCTAAAGCAATAGCAGTTCTCACTAAAAGTTGAAAGATGACCAAGTAAACAGCGCAATAACTATAGAAAAATCTCTCAAATTTCTTACACTTGTCTTTTTTCCTCCCTGTTATTTAGCTCCTTCCCTGTGCCACCGAAAGGTCTGGGAGCAAAGTGGGCCCTGAACAAACACACAAATCGAGACTGGCTTCAAGCGCAAAACCAAGTGTAACCAGGCTAAGGTGAGCTTGTGAAAACACAGTAAATGGAAGGCAGGAGTAACTCACCCTTTCCTAAGATATTCCAACGGAGTCTTGGCGTTTGGGGTTTTCTTTTACTATAAACAACTCCCTCATCTCCAGATCACAAGTGCACCACGGCAGTGTACTTCAAACTGAGGTCTGTGGACACTGAGGGTAGACACCTTTAAGACACTGTGTGCTTCCCTCTTGCTAATGTCTAATTAACTGCATATTCTACATCAACTTACGAGCAACCAACTTCTACTACTCAAACAGACGCCTGTCTTATTTGTGTCAGGGACCACTAGTGCCACGAACTACTGCTTTGAGAACAGAAGCAATATCATCAATAAATAAAGTTTGTGATAGAGAAAAGGCCATCATCAGGGCAAGCAAAATTTGAGGAACTGCAGTTTCAACCAGGAAAAGCAGTGAGAGAATGAATCATCAACACCCACAAGATGTTATCAGCAGTCTTTAGACAAGACGAAATTTCATTTCAGCAAAACAATGTCATCCATTAGATTAAATGTAGTTGATAAGTTTATTGGTTTCACAATATTGTTTATATTTAATTTGTAAACTGATTTGCTTTTAAGATTGTACGAAGAGGCATAAGAATTACAGTTTCATGCCTGTATATATTTATTTAACTATCATAATAAATAATTAAATCTATAGTAGAGACCACTAACATTTTTTTTTCCCTTTAAAAGCCCAGACATACAAGTTTGAGAAACATTATCCTAAAGGCAGAGGAAATAGCTGGCCGATTCAACCTTAAGGCAACGAGAGGAAGGAAGGAACTGGTGCTAAGGAAGGTGTGATGGTCAGGGTGCTGCAGGGCAGGGTGCTGCAAAGAATGCTGATATGCTCTCCCCACCCAGTCAATTCAATTCAATGAGTACAATTCTATCTATTCTTTTTTTCTCTGATCTTTTTTTTTGCTGGGAGGGGGAAGGATGGGGGGT